AGTTTTTGGTGTTATTTTATTTTTTATCATTTATTTTCCATCCAATTAAAATTTAATTTTTTGTGCTCTTTATTTTAATTTTTTAAAAGTTGGTAATAGATTTTGTTTTTAAATTTGAAAATATATTTATCTATATTCATTTAAATAATCTTACTCCCATTTCTTTTCTGGATTAGGAGTAATTTTTATTATAATATTATAGTCTCACTCTTTTCACCTTCATACTCAATTCAATCGTGAAGTTACAAAATTTTACGACGAACCATCTATAATCAAAACAAATAGTTCTCGAAAAAATGGCAAAAATGATCGGAGAAGTTGCTATAGTTGAAGGACAATGGAAGAGAGACGTTTGGTCTCACAATTTATTGGAGGAGATAGAACTTATCAAGCAGTGTTTATCCGAATTCCCAATTGTGGCTATCGACACGGAGTTTCCAGGTAAAAATTAAACTTTAAGTTGATGAGAAGTAGTGATTTTTTTAAGTTTTGTTTGACTGACTTGAGATGAATTTTCTTTTTAGGATTTTTAAGATGGACTCCTAAAGGTGTTTCAGATGAAGAATTTTATGAATGCCTACAATTCAACGTCAATCGACTGAGCATCCTCCAGTTAGGACTCACACTCACGAATGATAATGGAAAAATAGGAATGACGTGGGAGTTTAACTTTAGAGATTTTGATAAAATTAGTAATATGGAGGGTGTTTATTCCCTCGATTCATTTCTAAAAAATAAAGGATTTAATTTTAATACATTGAGGAGCTATGGAATTGCTCCCGAAGAATTTGGTACACAATTTAGCCCTATTCTTCGAAGCGGTAGAATACATAGATGGATAACATTTCATGGATTGTATGACATTGCCTACTTAATGAAGTTTACCAACATAAGGTGCATGCCTACATCCATGTCTATCTTCGCCATCACTGCTGCACATATACTAGGAACAGTCACCGACCTTAAACATATGGCTTGGTATTCCCTGCTCGATGGCAATCTAGGCTTAAAAAAATTGGCTAAACTGCTTCAAGTTAATCGCACTGGTACTGCCCACTTTGCTGGGTCTGACAGTTTGCTTACAGCATCAGTTTATGCCAAGATGAAGATAATTATGAAGGTTGAACCAAACATACATGAAGGATTTTTATATGGATTACCATATCCCATCCAGGGTTATAGACGACCAGTTGTAATCGTAGATCCATCAAAGTTAACCGACGGTCGTATCTCAATAGATTAATTTTAAAAATGTTTTTTTAGAGAGTAGATGTGGAGGGGGCTAAATATGTGCCAACTTGTATAAGATCATACATAATGTATATAAATTCATATTTATTTAATGATTAATTTTTTTTTTCTCCATTTACATCTTACTTTTCGAATATATATATTGAAAAATAATTTATTTAAAATATATGTAACTTTTATTTTAAATTATTTATTTATAATAATTTATTCAATTTTAAAATAATTTATTTATATAAGATGATACCACATATATATATATATATATATATATATATACCTTTTATTTATTTAAAATTCATATTTATTTAACACTATTTTTTTTTTCTTCAATTTAAATCTTATTTTCGAATATATTGAAAAATAATTTATTTACCAACACTATTTTTTTTTTCTTCAATTTAAATCTTATTTTCGAATATATTGAAAAATAATTTATTTACCAACTTTTATTTAAAATAATTTATTTGTATAAAGTCAAACCATAGGTACACATATATAACTTTTATTTATTTAACATTAATTTTTCTTTTTTTTCTTCCATTTAAATCTTATTTCAAATATATAATTGAAAAATAATTTATTTATAATAATTTATTCAATTTAAAAATAATTTATTTGTATAATAACATACCATATAACTTTTACTTATTTAAAATTCATATTTATTTAACGACTATTTTTTTCTTTAATTTAAATTTTACTTTTCGAATATATATATTGAAAAATAATTTATTTATAATAATTTATTCAATTTAAAAATAATTTATTTGTATAATAACATACCATATAACTTTTACTTATTTAAAATTCATATTTATTTAACGACTATTTTTTTCTTTAATTTAAATTTTATTTTTCGAATATATATATTGAAAAATAATTTATTTATAATAATTTATTCAATTTAAAAATAATTTATTTGTATAATAACATACCATATAACTTTTACTTATTTAAAATTCATATTTATTTAACGACTATTTTTTTCTTTAATTTAAATTTTACTTTTCGAATATATATATTGAAAAATAATTTATTTAAAATATATGTAACTTTTATTTTAAATTATTTATTTATAATAATTTATTCAATTTTAAAATAATTTATTTATATAAGATGATACCACATATATATATATATATATATATATATACCTTTTATTTATTTAAAATTCATATTTATTTAACACTATTTTTTTTTTCTTCAATTTAAATCTTATTTTCGAATATATTGAAAAATAATTTATTTACCAACTTTTATTTAAAATAATTTATTTGTATAAAGTCAAACCATAGGTACACATATATAACTTTTATTTATTTAACATTAATTTTTCTTTTTTTTCTTCCATTTAAATCTTATTTCAAATATATAATTGAAAAATAATTTATTTATAATAATTTATTCAATTTAAAAATAATTTATTTGTATAATAACATACCATATAACTTTTACTTATTTAAAATTCATATTTATTTAACGACTATTTTTTTCTTTAATTTAAATTTTATTTTTCGAATATATAAATTGAAAAATAATTTATTTATAATAATTTATTCAATTTAAAAATAATTTATTTGTATAATAACATACCATATAACTTTTACTTATTTAAAATTCATATTTATTTAACGACTATTTTTTTCTTTAATTTAAATTTTATTTTTCGAATATATAAATTGAAAAATAATTTATTTATAATAATTTATTCAATTTAAAAATAATTTATTTGTATAATAACATACCATATAACTTTTACTTATTTAAAATTCATATTTATTTAACGACTATTTTTTTCTTTAATTTAAATTTTATTTTTCGAATATATATATTGAAAAATAATTTATTTATAATAATTTATTCAATTTAAAAATAATTTATTTGTATAATAACATACCATATAACTTTTACTTATTTAAAATTCATATTTATTTAACGACTATTTTTTTCTTTAATTTAAATTTTACTTTTCGAATATATATATTGAAAAATAATTTATTAACTTTTATTTTAAATAATTTATTCAATTTAAAAATAATTTATTTATAGAAAGTTATATAATATGTATGCATATATACCTCTTATTTATTTAACGATTAATTTTTTTTTTCTTCCATTTAAATCATACCTTTCGAATATGTTGAAAAATAATTTATTTACTGTATAAATGTAACTTGTATTTTAAATAATTTATTCAATTTAAAAATAATTTATTTGTATAAGGTCATACAACATGTACATGTATATAACTTTTATTTATTTATTTAATGTAAATCTTACTTTTCAAATATATATATTGAAAAAACAATTTATTTAAAATAAATGTAACTTCTATTTTAAATAATTTATTTAATTTAAAAATAATTTATTTGATCATATCTATAGTATATAACTTTTATTTATTTAAAATACATATTTATTTAAATATTAATTTTTTTCTTCAATTTAAATCGTATTTTTTAAATATATATATTGAAAAATAATTTATTTAATTTAAAAATAATTTATTTGTTTAAGGTCATAAATACAACTTTTATTTATTTAAAATTTATTTAATAATAAAAATAATTTATTTATTTAAATAATAAATGAGCTTTCTTCGCTGAAAACCAAAACAGATTGTTTGAATATTTTCCAAGACAACTTTGCCCTTTACTCTTTCTTCTCTCAAATCGACGAAAACCCGCTAAAACCCTTAGGATCGCAAATAATAAACCCGCCAATTCTACTGCCGCTTCCTTCTCTATGAGCTTCCCATCGACTTGATGTCATTCCCTTTTTCGACAACTAATATGGCTTTCAGATTCCGGCGACTCAAAGAAATCTCAAGCCTCAATTCTACTCAGGTACTCCTCCACCGACCCGTGTTCCATCCTCAATTTGAATTTGATTCGAATAGCTTTGTTTACTTGGTTGTATCTAGTCATCTTCAATTTTTTTGATCTTATTGCAATTTTTCTTTGTTCGAGTCAAGATATTATTAGCATCAGAAGGAGTTGGTAGAAGGATTTTAGAGAGTGGATGTCACCTTCTGCGGTATGTATGATTCATATGTTTACAACTTTGCTAGATTTAAATTTTATATCCCTACTTGTACACCATGAATTATTACAGCTCTACGAAGCAGTTGCTTAAAATGTTTGAAGTAACTATTTGGGAGAATTTACCCCGAGAGAGAGAGAGAGAGCCATTAAGGATAAACGATCAAAGAAACTTTCAAAATTGATCGAACATATGTCACTTTCTCCCCCACCCAAATCAAGCACAAAACAACCTATTTAGATATGAGAGCCTTAATCTTCAAGGAATTGGTAACAGAGAATTGGTGAATCCATGTGATGGATGAATTATCGGTAAAACTGACCAACTGAAGACCTATAGGTTTCTGTAAATAAAGCCCAAGTACCATTGCGCCAGGGCCACTTTTTAGCTTCATGTTTTTAATAAAGGGCCATTGCGAGGGTTCTTTGGAATTTTCTTTGATCTTTGTTTTGTTTACTACAAAAATGTGGTATATGTTGAATGATCTTGAGTTTGTGGTACATAGTTTCAATCTTGTAAATTTTGTTTGTCTATCTGACTTATAATTCGACAGTCATTTTCAGGTTTTCCACAACAACGGAGCTGCAGTGCGAGTATTCTCCCGCAAATGACGTTTTATCCTTCATTATTCTTCATTGTATATAAGTATCATATTCGTATCTAATAACATCCTTGAACAACAACTTTATATCTATATCACTCGAAGATATAATCAAAACTTCTAAAGAATGTTTTAAAATTACTAAGGTATGTTCGTGGATGGAGATTGAGAATCTTTACAGCACAAACTTACAGGCATGTATTCTCTACGAGTTTGGTAGCAATAAAAAGGACCGGCATGCTCAAAAACCGTCTAAACAGATCGAAGAACACATGTTCAGAAGGGTTCGAGAAAGATGAGGATTTTGTGGTAGCTGAGAACTAAAAGCAAATACAACTCACATTCAAGTGAAAGTGACTCCTCCTCTATATATATCCTTTCGCGATCTTAAGCTGGCAACTGGAGTTTCTGGTTGGTCTTCCAACTGCAGAGATTGAAAGTTCAAAAAGTAAATGTCATAACAAAATTCAAACAAGAAATCCCCACTAGGATCATATATGAAGCAAAAGATTTTGGTCACCTCTGAAAATAATAATAGAAGAAGTCTGCGTAAAGTAGCGTTTGCACAAGCCCTGAAATCCAAGCTGCAATTTCACAAAGAGCGTTAGGAAGTTACCCAATGTCTCCCATCACATATAGCAACACAATTTTTCTCAAGGTGATTATGCGCCACCCTTTTGAACTAACGTGAGGATATAACAAGCTTTTCGTAATATATCTCCATCAACTAAAAGCTATAACATATGGAAATCTTTTGAAAAATAAGCCGATTTGGTGGGAGAATCTATGAAAAGTAAAACCTGGCTGCGACACATCAGGCTGAATGCTTCAACGTTAATTTTAACTCTATTTACCATAATGGATAAATGCAAGAAGTAAACACAAAATATTATTCAAGTGCTTGAAAGTTAAGTGGATTAACTAAAAAAAAATAAAAATAAAGAACTTGTTGGGTTAAAGGTTTCTACTTTATCCTAAATCAATCCTAATTATGGTTTCCAATCAAGGCACTCCTAATTATGGTTTCCAATCAAGGCACTATGATATCTAATATGACTAAAAGCAGTTTTAAGACATAAGACATAACAGAGGGCAAGGAAGGAGATGACTTACTTATCCAGTGGACAAAGTGAGTCTCAGTGAAGTATCGGTAGATCCAGTTGACAATGTACAAAGCTCGGTACGCACTGCATCAAGAAAATTAGGATGCAATAAGGTTTTTTTGTTCATAACGTGTTCTGAGGTTGACGTAACCGAGTCAAAGAAGTAGAAAACAGATGACCTAATAAAAGCTACTACATGTTCAAGCTTTTCGCGTATAACCCAAATTTAACAAACCAGGTAAAGAAAATAGGCTTGTCCATCTGCAAAACTATCAACACCTATTAAAACTATCAACTAAGACCGTGCACAGCTTAATTTTTACACGAATTCAGATGTTCAGTTTGTATTCAAATAGGAGTATAGTAGCCTTCATAAAAGAAACTCTTTGTCCTCATACTATCTCCTGGGGTCAATCTAATATACTTAGATTAGAGAATTGGATCATTTTCAAACACTAATTCATACAGGTGCCGTTTCTAGTTTATTTATGAATCACATTCTATTGATATAAATCTAATTGCATGAAGCCAGCTCTTACTGAAACCGTGTGTAGATTCTAGTAAATAAACACACCTATTATGTGCACTATGATATCACATTCTATTGATATAAATCTAATCACATTCTACTATATAAACAATGAAGTCAGCTCTAACTAAAACAGTGTGTAGATTCTAAACAGTTAATAGTTGTTATCTTTTCACCGACCATGCTCTGGCACCTCCACTCCATTACTATTTCTAGCATGAGTAGGAAATAGGAAGGCCAAGGAAGTCACTAGAGAGGGAAAAGATAATGCCGAGGAAGTCAAAAAATGCATCACAATTCATACATTTAGTTTGCCACATATGTCTTCCCCCACAAACGCTAACAGTTCTGTCAACCTTCAAAAGAAATTTGAATTGATTATAAAATAGTTATTTGGGTTCTAACATCTTAAAGCGAAAGGTTTGCAGTCTCCAAACCATTAAGAAGACTGACATCTTACAACTCTCTATTTTTCCAACTGCTTGATATTTTGGCATATAATCTAAGATAATCGATATAAGATCCGAGAGGAGAATGAAGCATTCTTTATAAGGGTGTGAAAACCTCTCACCAAAAGGGGAAGCCCAAAGAGAACAATTTCTGTTATTGGTGGGCTTGGGCTGTTACAAATGGTATCAGAACCAGACATCGGGTGATGTGCCAACGAGAAAGCTGAGTCTTGAAGGGGGTGGACACAAGGCAGTGTGCCAGCAAGGACGTTGGGCCCCGAAGGGGTGGATTGGAGAAGGGAACGAGTGCCAACAAGGACGATGGGCCCCGAAGGGGGGTGGATTGTGAGATCCAACATTGGTTGAAGAGGGGAACGAAGTATTCTTTATAAGGGTGTGGAAACCTCGCATTTTAAAAACCTTGAGGGAAGTCCAAAAGGGAAAGCCTAAGGAGAACAATATCTGCTAGCGGTGGGCTTGGGCCCTTACAGTTGAGGTACTATGCAAGGGAAAAATGGGAAAACGATGAAATTTGCTCCTTCTTCATGGATTTGAATTCACCATAGGTGTTAGACTTATACGAGACACCTAAATTCAGACACCATGTATTGACAGATAGAAAGAAAGCAAGCATAAAATTGTATTTGAATTCCTAATTATCAGGTACTTGTGAATGGCATGGTTCTAAACAAGAGATACGTATGAAAAACAAGAAAAGGAGGAAACTTAGCAGTGGATTCAAGAGCTATTACATCAATGGTAAGTAGTGATATCATACCCAAGAAGAAATACGTATTGCCCGGTCAAATTGTCAATATTCTTTGTTCGTTGTAGAAGTACAAGCTGAGGGAGGATGGCAACCGCTTCCAAGTACAAAGAAAATGCCCACAAAACCTGTTCCATTGATTGAACTCAATATACGAAAGAAATGTGCAACAATTCCTTCATCAAAACATTAAACATAAACATACATATACCTAGAATATTTTTAATGAAACTTTTATAGCTGGAAGAAAATCATAAAAAGAGCTAACCTCCTTGAATGTTAATTTTTCATTGATAAGCAGGGCCAAGATAATACAAGGTAAGATAAGGAAAACATGGCGGAAAGTGTCTTGGTTCTTGTCGTATGACCGACGAACAATCTTGTGTCGTCTAATATACCAAACAATTGAATATGAACTCCCCAAGAATATTAACTTCATGAACGTATTATACAGAGATATGAAGTCGGTAAAGATATCCAAGTAGCGGGTAGTAAAAACAATTGCATATAGCTCTTGAGTCTTCAAAGAAACACCTACACAAGTCAAAATATTAACATTGAAGAAATTGCAGCCAAAACCTAACCAAAGAAGAGCAGAACACTGAACAAATCCCCTTCAAAATATTGAGATTTCTATATCCTTATCAAATCTTACTAAATGTTAAGATAGCAGAAATTCCACATTGTTTGATTCCTTTAAGCCTTCATTAACTTCATTTACAATTTTCGCATGTTTCTATTCCAAATCCCAAGATTGCAATACATAAAATGGAACATAATGTTTCAGAACTCACGAATCCAAAACACCTAAATCGAAGAGCTACAAGGGAAAATACAATGATGCAATACAACGAACACAAAAGAAAATCGATCTTAGGGCCAAATTCGAAAAAATAACCATAAAATCCATACCAGCACAGGATTTGATGGTGTGGATCTTGAGGAGCAAAACGAGAACGCTTGCCAGGTGAGTCATATCACCCGCTAATCTAAAGATATTCATCTTGACAGATTAGATCTCTAAACCTGAGCTCTGAATTTCTTCTTCTGGGCTCGGATTGATGAAACTCCAACCTCAGGAATCGGAAAAAATGGTGCAGAGAAGCTCGCCGATTGCCGTTTCCGGTTGTTCCTCCTTTCCCCCCGACGCATCAAGTTATTCTTACGAATCTTTCACCGCAAAATTAACAGTTGCGGTATGCAGTGGATTCGAAAAAATGGCGTTCATATCTATTTTGAAAATTGTTTTGAAATTTGTTCTCTCTTTTTCTTGCAAAATCAATCTCGTGATATTGTGAGGTTAAGAAATTGTAAAAGTTTATGTTTTTTTTAATACTTTATAAGCAGTTTCAAACATTTATAAATTAAAAATTATTTTTAAGAATTATAAACAATAAATAATTATAAAAATAAAATAAATATAGGTATATATAAATTATGTCGTAAACAAAAATATATATTTTAAAATCATCCATAAATCAATCTAGTTTAAACAGAACTCAAGAATCAACTTTAATTCGTGAAATTTTATATTTGTTCAAACCCAAGTCAACTCGAAACCTGTACGAATTAGGTTGGGTTGATCAAATTTTTTTAGTTATTGAATTTTTTGAACACTACTTAACGTAGGAACGGTTGACGATTATTATTGGGAGTGAATTCTACATTAGCTAATTTAGTGTAAGATCATGGGTTTAAAGCGTTTTGGGGAAGCCCAAAGCAAACCCATGAAAGCTTATGCTCAAACGGGACAATATCATACTATTGCAGTGAGTCGTGATTTCTAACACGGTATTAGAGTCATGCTCTTAAAATTCGATCTCCAATAATTATTCATATACAATCTCCCTCTATTCCCTGTGAAAATATTAGATCTTACATCGGTTGGAGAGGGAAACGAAACATTTCTTATCAGGGTATGGAAACAACTTCTCCCTAGTAAACGCGTTTCAAAACCGTGAGGCTAGCGACCATACGTATACATAGCAGGCTAAAGCCAGACAATATATCTATTAGCGGTGAATTTGGGCTGTTACACATGATATCAAAGCCAAACACAAAAGCGGTAAACGCGTTTCAAAACCGTGAGGCTAACGACCATATGTAAACGTAATAGGCAAAAACAGATAATGTCTATTAACAGAGAATTTAGGCCGTGTTACAAATGATATTAAAGCCAAACACACAAGTGGTGTGTCATCGAAGACGCTGGATCTCCAAAAAGAGTGTATGGTTAGATCCGCCGAACACACAAAGCGGTGTGTCATCGAGGACGCTGGATCCCCAAAAAAGGTGTATGGTTAGATCCCAGTCTGGAGAATGAAACGAAACATTTCTTACCGGAAACCTTTTAAATTCATCATCAAACATAAGTAAAAAAAAAAAAAAAAAAAAAAAAAAAAAAAAAAAAAAAAAA